CCGCCGCCAGGGCGCGCTCCTCTGCAGCCTGCACCCGTTGTTCGGCAGCCTGCAACGCTCCCTCTAGCGCCTGGAAGCGTCGCTCGATCTCTTCCATACTTCCTGTCGAGCTTCTCGTCGAACTTCCGGCTCCTCAGGATGTCCGCCTTGTTCGACCTTGAGCCACGCTTCCTCTTCTTCTTCGGCGGCGTGCTGGGCTAGGAAGGGCCGGCCGGCGCAGCTCTCGCCGCTGCCAGCCGCCAGGAGGGCGCAGCCCTCGCCGCTGCCCTATCGCTGGCGCGCGCGCGCGCCGCGGGTGGCTGGAAGGGAAGCGGCGGCAGGAACGTGCTCACGCACGCTCCGCTACCATGTTGATGGTTTTTACTTGGACCAAGGGGCTACAGATTAGCATGTACAGTCAACAGCCCGCTTTCACTGCTCGCCTCTCTCACACGTGATGACCCCAGCGCTGCAGCCAACCAGTGCGGACCCGTGGAATGATATCCATAGCGGTTCCTTGCGTGATGGAATACCTCTGCAAACTTCAAAATACAGATGTGCGTCCACGTAGCAGGAGTGGTTGCCCAGCAGGGTCCCAACCGCACGGCGCTCCTCAATATACTCGAAGCCGCGAAAGACAAATCTGAAGATGGCCAAGCCATATTGCCTAGTGGCGAGACGACCTCTCGTACGCTGTGATGCCCAACGTATATTTGTGTTCGTTCGGCTCCAACTTGCTGTTCCGCATCTCACCGAACAGCGACAACGCCTGCCGCGATGTGCCGCCTCTTTCACACGCACAGATCTTGGCGCTGTAGCTGGCTAGTGCTGACCCGTGGTCTACTGGCAAGAATCAGTCCGAGATGGCACATTGGGCCAAGGCGGAAATGTTGCCGGAAAGCCTTCATGAGGATGTTGGGCGCGAACATCTCCCTGGTGTGGCCTGAAGCTGTAAGCTGCTGTTGTCTGCGGCATGTTGTGGTTGGTGATTAGTATGGCTGTGTGTTGCCGCTGCTAGCCACGGACTGCTGTAGTTCGCTGTTGGATTGAAACTGGGTGCTGCTTCTCGGCGCTTCTGCTACCGAATGCAGCCTGCAGCTCGTGAGTGGATCGCAGAGCAAGGAACAAGGAGCTAGGAGTCAAGGTCGAAGGGGGGGCGGAAATGATGAGCGATCAGCGAGGAACAAAGAGCGAGAAGGGGGGGCGACGGCCGAGGACAGATCGCAACGGTTCGGACAAGGGTGTCCAGGGCCGGCGGGTAATAGCGCCGCTTGGGCCAGCCTCACTCCGGCCGAGGGGGGGCGCTTGAAAAGCGGGGGTGGGAAAAAACGTCCCCCCTGGCGCGGTCAAGGACTCCGACTGGTAAAAACTGATAGGGCATGGCGATGAGGGCGTGGCACTCTCCAACTGCGCGCCCGTGCTGCAGGGAGGCCCTGGCTTTCAGCGCGCTTTGGCGCGCGCGTCTCGGGACCCTGGGAGAAAAAAGGCGCCGCGTTCGGGCAACACCCTACGCGGCCCAGTGCCAGGGTTGGAATGGGTTGCCAGACGCTCTCACCGCGCTCTGAAGATTGGAGGGGCTAGGGCGCTGCTGCGCTACCCGGGAGCAGCAAGTCGCGAGTCGCGCGTGGAAATCCCACCAGCCCTTTGGGCGACAGGTGGTCTAACGGGAATCTCTTTCCTTTTCCACAACCCCTTTCCCCTTCGGGGGGGGGAAACACCCCCCTCCCCCCCTCTGAGATGTTTGGGGAGGGGTCGCGAGGTGTCGGAGGCTCCTTTTTCGGCCCCTGGGAGGGCGAATTTCTGACACCCCTCAAAATCATCGTCGCCTCCGTGGAGGGAAATCGAGTACCCCCCTCTTTTGACCGACCGCCTCCAAGATGGCCCCAAGAGGCCCCCAAGAGGGCTCCAAGAGCGCCCCAAGAGGCCCCAATAGGGCTCCAAGAGGCCCCCGAGCAGCCTCAGAGAGCCCAAGATGACCTCCAAGATGGCTCAGATAGCCCAAGCTGGCTCAAGATGTCTCCCAAGATGCTCCAAGTGGCCCCAAACCCGCTACAAGACGGCTCGAGATGGCCACGGAGCCTCCCAAGTCTCCCTCGTTGTTTGACTATGCGCGTCTCTTCCTCTCCCCCCCCCCGCCAACTCTCATGGGCATCGTTTCTGGATGGGCTGGTGAGGATGTTTTTTTTTGGGGTACGCAGGCACACGAATCAGGTCGGGCGCCGGGCAAGCGGGGGCAAGACATGCCACCCGCGAAGGAAAAAGCAGCGCGACGAACACATAGGAAAAGGCAAGGCTCAGAGCCGGCCGAGGGCGAGGGTGCGGGTGCGGCGCCAGGACCGCGGGAACGGGGCCGAACGTGAGGAAGAGCAGCACCACTGGGAACGGCAGCGCGGGACCGCGCACCACCAGGAGGCCGAGGAGGCCCACCCGAACCCCGGCGAGCGGGAAACCTTGCCGAAGACGTAGCACACGCAGGAAAAGTGGAGGCTGGACGCCAACCTTACCGTACAGGTAGGACTTGACGAAGACCGTGCCAAGGCGAGCACAACAGGACGAGTGGGAATGCAGCGCAGCCAAAATGGCGCAGAGGAGGTGGAACTGCACCAGCACGACGAAGTGGCCTGCGTGTAGCAAGCCGGGAGCACGAGGCAGATGGCCAGCAGCACCAGGAAGGCCATGGCGAGAGGCCCGTGCACCTCAGGCAACCTCGTTGAACCAGCAGGCCATGCGAAGCGTCAAGAATTTTCCTGGTGAGTGGCCCCAGGGGAAACAGGCGTGCGGAAAGCCTGTTAGAGGTCATTCCAGGCCGACTGCGCCTGTTAGGACATGTCACGGAGAGATCTTGGAAGTTCCTGCTGGATGCTGCGCAATCTCTGTGCGAGGCTGGAAGCGCGCTGCTGCAACACCATGAGGCTCGCGGCTGAAACAGCTTCACGATCGCGGGCAGACTGTTGCCCAGCCACGGTGAGGCGCTGCGTGCGGGCACGTCTCCGATCGGTGGGCTGCGCTTCTGTCGCCCGCCTCCCCTCACCCTGAATGGGTGGCTGTGGGGCCCTTGGCTCACGCTCCAAGGTGGGACGGGGCGGGGGCCTGGTGGCAGGAAGTGCTGCGCTGAGAGGCCGAGGAGGAGGGGGAGGGGGAGGGGGAGGGGGAGGAGGAGGCGGAGGAGGAGGAGGCGGAGGAGGAAGGTCTGCACTGGCACTGGCCAGCCCTGCGGGTCAGGGGCGGCGGAGCTGGTCCGCCAGGGCCGTGCCCGTCCGCGTCGCATGGCGTGTGTACGAGGCGTTCGGCTCGCCCGGGGGCTGGGCCCGGTGGCCGGTCTTGGGGTCACCAGCGACAGCCATCAGACACTCGGCAGCGTGGGCCTGGTGGTTCCCGTGCCCTGGTGTTAGGTCGGGCGTGTCCCCCTACAGGCGGATTTTGGACGACCAATAAAAAGTTGCTCAAAAATGATCAAACATGTTTGAAAAATAATCGACAAATCGTCCCCAGACTATTTGTCGACTATTTTTCAAATATTCTTCCTGTAGAGGACACGCCCGACTTAACCCTGGAGGCGCACGTGGCCTGGTGGCTCCCGTGGGCTGGTGGCTCCTGTGGCTCACGTGGCTGGATCTCCCAATGGGCACTGTCAGGCGGTTCGGCTTCGTAGGGCTGGATGCCGCCACGATGCTCCGGGGTGTTGGTGTGGCCGCCGTGGCCCTCTTCGGCTCCTGTGCGCTGGATGCCGCATCGGTGTCCGTGCATGTCAAAATGGCCTCAACACGGCCCAAGAGGCCCCGAAGACGCCCGAGGAGTGTTCCAAGAGGCGGCCCAAGAGGGCCCCAAGAGGCACACATCAGTGATATGTCCCTAGGTTTTGAAGTTTTCGCCTTCTCGCCTTTTCAGCTTTCCGACGCTCCAAACTGGCCCACGAGGACCCAAAGATCGCCCCAAGACAGCCCCAGAGGCCCCCAAGAGAGCCCCAAGGCGGCCTAAGAGGGCCCCAAGAGGCGCCCAGGACGGCCCAAGGGGGCACAAAGACAGTACTAAGGGGGGCCTCGGCCCCAAGAGGCTTCCAAGAGGCCCCCGAGAGCGGCCCGACGAGACCCGAAAACACATGCCTGAGAACTCGGACCCACAACCCGGGCACCGTGGCGTGATGGGCCAAAGGCCACTAGATATACATGAACGAATAGACACGTACTTACATGGATGTAGCAATCCATTAAATGAAAAAATATACACACATATCAGAACGAGGGGGGCGAACGGTCACTCACTCCTTGGGTGCGTGGCTGAAGTGGGGTTCCGCGGCGCGGATTGTTGCTACTTGTTGTCGTCGTCCCAGCCGCGACCCGGCCCGCGATCCACCCGCGACCCACCCGCAACCAACCCCGCGCCCTTTCCCATCACTCGTACCCGCAACTGCGGGGTGCTACATAACAATGTCTAGATCAATATAATCATGTGTGCGTGCGCGTGGAATCTCAGCGCGGGAGGGAAACCACGGGGAGGAGAGAGCGAGGGCGGGGGGGGTAAAGAAGGTAGGGGGAGGGGAGGAGAGGGCCAGAGGGGGTCCGGGGAGGGGAGAGGGAGGGAAATAGGGCGGGGGAGGGGAGCGGAGGAAGCGGGAGGAGGGCACCAAGAAGGATGAAGAGATGGAGGAGAGGAGCGGGGAAGGGGGAGGCTAGGAACCTCCTTCTCTCCTCCTCCGCCTCCTTCCCAAATCCTTCGTCCTCCGTCCTCGTCCTGCTCGTCCTCAACCCCCATCTCCTCCTCGCCGACTCATTGCCCCTCCGGCGTGTCCCCGCTCGCTCTCCTCCCTTGGTAATCACATACGGTCAACCCGTAGCATCAGGACGCACGGTCGCGATGCAAGGGCCTTGGAAGGCACTTTCGAAGATTTTTCGAGCGAGGCGCGGTCAACGAAAGTGGCAGAAAGGATAGACCGAGGAGGCACGGATGCAAGGATACCCTTGGGAAGGTTGCCCATCCATACTATGCGGGGTGACTGTGCTTGGCCTCCGCGGCCCCATGACCTGTAACCCTCGCCCGCCAGCAGCCCCAGGGGGCAGGCGGCGCTGAACAGGCCCTCCTCCAGCTCCTCGGGGAGTGGCAGTATCAGCAGCAGCACGGGCAGGAGACAACGAGCAGCAACACCAGCACGAGCAGCACGAGCACGAGCAGGAGCTCGAGCAGGACACATAGAGCAGGACGAGGAGGAGTAAACGAAGAGAAGTAGCCAGCGAGGAGGAGAAGGAGGAGGAGGAGGAGGAGAGGGGGAGGGCCGGGAGAAGTAAAGAGGGATGGGGCGAGGAGGCAAAGGCCTGGCGGGAAACGGGGGGAAGGGATAGGGCGAGAGAGAGAGAGAGAGGCGAGAGAAAAAGAGTGGAAGGAAGGAGATGGGGAAAAGGAAGAGAAACCGAAGGTGTCCAGGGGAAAAGGACATAGGGTAGCACGCAGGGGCGACCTCACCTCGTCTGACATCCTACCCCTCCTGCCCCTCCATCACGACAGCGCGCGGTGTTCTGGCGTCTTGGCGTCGAGTCGGGTGTGAACCCCGGGATCTCCTTGGCGTCCCGCTTCTTCAGGGAGCCCTTCTCCATGAAGCCCTCGACGACCTTCTCCCGGACGGCCATGTCGCTCTTCCACTCCCGCGCCGGGAGGGATGCCAGGGCATCAGGGGGGGGGGGGAGGAGCGGAGGCGAGGGAGGGGGACGGGGAAGGAGGCGCGGAGGGGGGGGGGGATGCAAAGCGAAGAAGGAGGGAGAGAGAGACGCGGGGAGGAGCGGGGGAGCGGGGCAGAGAGGCGATGGGGGCGATTGGAGGACAAGGAGGGGGAAGCCACGGGGCCGCGGCAGACGCGGGGCGCGAGGCACCAAGACCCGGGACCCCAGGCACCAGAACTGCTTTGAGCAGGCGTGCCGACATGTGATGCCTGGAGTTGTGGATGCCACGCCAATGGACACCCTGACAGTCCTATCCTCGAATAAAACATGTGTTTTACATGTAGGAAGCATGTCCTGGAAATGTTTAAAGCATGTTTCTAACATGTTCAAAACAGTTTTAACACACGTTCTAGACGTCTGGAAATTATTGGGCAACATGTTTCCTCTCCATTGATCGTCCTCCACAAGCCTGGAGCAGCTCCACAGTTCGAGGAGGCAGCCGGCGTGCCACTCGAGCAGCGGCGGGGCTTCTGGGCTGGCCTGTCGCCCTGCCAGGCTGTAAGAGCACTCCCTCCCGATTCCCCTTGCCCGTCCTCGGAGGCCTCTTAGATGGGGTCGGAGAGGATGGGGTTCGCGCCACATCGGCGAGACATCGGCGATGCATCGGCGTTGCACTGGCGATGCACTGGTGATGTATCGGCGACGTCGGCGATGCATCGACGTTGGGAGGCCAACCCACGCCAGGCCCCGGCCCGACCCTCAGGAAGAGGAGGAGGAGGAGGAGGAGGAGGAGGAGGGGGAGGAGGACTCCACCCGTCTCCCCACCCCCCTCCGGCGACCCTCGTCCGCCCGTCTCCCCCCCTCCCACGACCGGCGCGCACGCGCGGGGCGCCCGCGGCGCGCGCAGCGCCCGCGGCACGCGCAGCGCCCGCGGCACCCGCGCGCGGCGTCGGCAGCTCCAGCGGCACCAGCAGCGCCCGCCTGCCGCGCAGCGCGTGCGGCAGACGCGGCAGCGCGCTGCCGCCACCGACGGGCCGAGGCAGACTCCATGGCACCGCGCAGAGGGGCGCCGAGAGGAGACAGCCCCTCGCAGCGATCCTCTGGACGGCCGAAGCCGGGGGAGGACTCCGGCCTCCAGGCCGCGCCGGCCAACCTCGAGCCAGAGCGGCACACCCACACACTCAGATCCACACACATATCCACACACACACACGCACACACACACACACGCACATACACGCACACACACGCACACACACACACACACGCACACACACGCACACACACGCACACACACACGCACACACACACACACACGCGCACACACACACGCACGCACAGATCCACACACACATACACACACACACACACACGCACACACACTGCCCCCCTGCCCCTCTCCCACCGCCCCTCCGGAACCTCCAATGACCCATGGACGCCGTGACGCTCTCGCACTCCGCCGCTGCCGTCCCCACCCTTCGTGGCGCGTCGCGCTCGGATCTCGTACCCCATCCTGGGCGCCCCCCCGGAGCACGGCCTCCGAGCACCTCGAGGCGAGCTGCAAGCGAGGGCAGCTGCCCTGCTGCACAAGCGGCGGCGGCTGCGGCGCGCTGGCGAGCGTGCATCAGAGTTCGGGGCGCGTGGGCAGCGTACAGCGAGAGTCGCGAGAGCCAGCTTCAGACACGAGGTAATGCTGCACAGCATGAGGGACGTTTCCCGCCCCGCCCTGAAGAGGAGACTGTTTTGAAAGTGTCTGGCGATAGCCCGGGTTATCGGGCTCGCCCCCCCCAGATAACCTCACGGGGGAGCGCAGGGAGCTCACAGGGAGCGCTGTGTTCAACGGCGCGGTGGTGTGCGCCACAGCATGCTGGTGTTTGGATGCACGTTGGTGAAACTTTGGGGCTTGGAGTGGCAGGGGGAGACGACGAAGACGACGCCGGCGACGTCGACGACGACGACGCCGACGACTACGACGACGGCCAACGTCGTCCATCAGCGTCCGGAGGTGCACGTGAGCAGCGAATGCACAGGCATTGCGTTGTGCGTGCGTATGCAGCGAAGAAATTTGGTGCACGAACTTGATGCGGCTGCAAGAAAATCTGTTGTATACGCAGTCGATGTGGTGCACGCAGACATAAGCGCACGCAGACAAACTGCACGCAGGCCGCGCAGTGCACGCGGGCATCGTGAAGCACCCACGTTCTATGGTGTAGACATGCTTTGTGGTGCACACAGCTGTTGCTGCAACAGCAGTTATGGTTCACGGATGCATCCCAGGAAAGGTGGTGTGCAGACGCGCTGTGGTGGGCGGCCATTGTGGTGTACCACGCCTTGTGGTGCACACAGGCGCTGCGGTGTACGCATCCACCGTTGTACACACAGTCGCTGTAGTGCTACGGTGAACACAGGGGATGTGGGCCCAAAAAAACGGGACCGTTCCCTTCGCAAGAAAAATCTATAATCAAACAAAATATACATATTGGATTTGATCAGTTCGGATCCCCTATGATTTTCCAGACTTCGGTCCCGCCGGGGCCTTGGAAGTGTACACCCTTCTGTGGTGTGTACTCAAGCATTTTGGTGAACCAGAGCTGTGGTCCACACATATGGTACTGAAGCAGCAAGCGTGGTGCACATAAGCATCGACGTGTACAGAGGCACTGTGGTGTCCACAGGCGCTGTTGCACACACGGCTGCTGTAGTGTACACAGGCATTGTGATATACGCAAGCACAGTTGGGCATACATGCATTGCGATGTACACAAGCATGTATGATGTGCAAAGGCGTCGTGGTGCACACTAGAGAGGCAATGTGATGTGCACAAGCATGGTCGGCCCCAAACGAGAGGACCGTACCACAGGCCCGAAAAATCAATAATCACACATAACTTACACTTTGAATGTGTTACGTTCGGGCCCCTGGCGATTTTCTAGGTTCGGGTCCCGTCGGGACCTTGGAGGTGCACGGAAGCGCTGTGGCGCAAATGTTCGCCATGCGCTGTGATGCACGCGGTTCCTCTGGTGTGCACCAGCATCGGGGTGTACGCTGGCGCTGTGGTGCAAGCAGAAGCTGCTGCTGCTGCAACTGTCAGCTCTGGTGTGCACTATAGCTAGTATGATACGCGAGATTCCAGGGCTTCTCTCGGCAATCCCATCCCGAATATCCCAATGCTAGCTGTCCAGACATATCCTTAGGCATTCTCAGCAACAGTACCAGCATCGTCGCAGCATCGTTAGCATATGTAGGGGCCGCGGCACCAGTGCGCGCGGGCATATGCAGGGCTGCCCACATGACGAAGGTTAGGTTATCGGCCAGCCCCCCCCCCCCCACACACACACACCCAGATAACCCGGGTGATCGCCGATCCCCAAACAAATCTAGAAGGAATGGGGGGAGAAAGACGAAAAAGACGAAGAAGAAGAGGAGGACGAGGACAGGCGTAGCACCCGGGACAGACGGACGGCCTACCACCGCTATGGGGAGGGGGAGCGAATGATGAAGCGCAGCGTAGTGCAAGCTTGGGGGAACAGGGGCGGAGGAGAAGAACGAGGAGGAAGCAGCGGAGGACGAGGACGAAAACAAGCAGACGGAGAGAGGATGGACAGCACGCGGCGAAGAGGAGGAGCGGGGGCAAGCAGGAGGAGCACTTCTGCCATGCTCTCGTTGCCGCAGCTGGTCGTTCGGCGACCTGGCTACTTCTTTTGATCAGCCCCCCAGGGCCGACCGGTCCTGGGGGGTTCCTCCGCATCCGCCTTCTCCTCCTCCGCCTCCGCCTCCGCCTCCGCCTCTTCTTCCTCCTCCTCCTCCTCCTCCTCCTCCTCCTCCTCTTCCTCCTCCCCTGGGGGGCGGGAAGGGAGGCACCCGCAGGGACCTCGTGCCACCAGGAACCAGGGACCCTGAGCAGCAGCAGGCGGCGGCGGGTGGCAGGAAGGCGGGCGGGAGGCAGCCTCGGCCACGAGGGCTTCCGCCTTCTGGGCGATGGCGGCGTCCGCGTGCTTCTTCAGCGCCCCGACCTCCGACGGCGGGCCGCGTCCCTCCCCACCCCTTGTCTCCTTCCCCCTCCCCCTCCTCGTCCTGATCTGGTTGTCGTCGTCGGTCCTTCTCCTCCTCCTCCTCCTCCTCCTCCTCCTCCGCCTTCTCCACCTCATCCCGTTCCTCGTTGCCCTCCGGCTGCTCAGCCGTCACCGAGACCAATCCTGGCCAGGCCAATCCCATGCCCAGGCCCTGTGGGCCTGGCCCAGGGGCAGAGGGCACGTCCAGGAACCCCCCGACGAGGAGACTGTCCTGGCCGGGATCGGAGTAGATGGGCACTGGGCGTCCCTGCCCCGTTCCTCTTCAGCTCCATCTGCTGCTTCTGAGAATTACCAGGGCGCTGGAGCACATACACACATACACGCACGCACACACATAAGTTGCGTCGCGGCTAGGCAGAGTGACTGCGCTGGCGGATGGAGCACATGTAGGGCATACAAATGCGAAGTAAGCCACGCAAACACGCACACACACGCACCCACACACACACACACACACACGCACGCACACAAATGGTGGATCCACATGTGGAACATCCGGAGGCTGCGTCCTGGACACACATGCGGAAGCCCGGCGATCAGAGCAACAGCAGGGCCGAGCGAAGGAAAACCATGTGGCCGCACTGGCCGCATGTGCGTCCAGCTCCCGCCCGGGCCGGCCGCGTCATGCGCGTCCAGCCGTCTGGTGGTGGCAGGGGCCCAGTCCTCCAACATCTTGACAAAGCAAGACGGTGCCTGGAGGGCACTTCCCCTCCTCCTCCTCCTCCTCCTCCTCCTCTTCCTCCTCCTCCTCCTCCTCCTCCTCCTCCTCCTCCTCCTCCTCCTCCTCCTCCTCCTCCTCCTCCTCCCCTTCTTCCTCCTGGGCGCCAAGGGCCACCAGGAGTCGGCCAGCGATGGAAAAGCTATGCTGCGCAAGAGGTCGCAAGCTGCGCGGACGCCGCACGGACACGGGCCAACAGCATTCGTCGAACGGGGGAAGGAGAGCGTGGCCCCGCGAATCGGCGGCCAGTCGTCTGGCCAACGCCACCGCAACCCCGCCACAAGCAAGAGCTCGTGAGACGATCCGTGGCTTGGGAGGGCGACGACGCGCCGCGGGCACGTCGTCCCCCGAGGTCACGTCGGGGCCGCTATGGGAGCGATCGGGCGACGGACCGTCGGACCCCCGCCCCTGCGCTGCTCCCCCAGCTACTCCGCCTCCCCCTTCCCCAGAGGAGGGCTGGCATTGAGGGCAAGGGGTCCCGAGTGACACAGGGCAGAGGAGCCCACCAGGTCCTGCGTAGCACGTCCTGGGGCCCGGGGGGCTCTTCCCCTGGACCCGCCTCACGTCCCCAGGCCGTTTCTTTTGACTGCCCAGGAACCCCAGAAAGAGCCCCAGGGAGGTCGAAAGCGACGAGAAACCTCGGGGCTCATTCTCCTCAGTGGCCCCATGAAGAACTAGCAGCCTCCTCGATGGGGTCCGAGTCGACGGGGTCGGAGGATCCCGCCGCATCGCCGATGCATCGTCGCCGATGCGTCGGCGATGCGTTGGCACTGCGCCAGCGACGCTGGCGACGCATCGACGACGACGGCGTGAAGATAACCGGGCTCCGCATCGAGCCGCATCGCCGATGCATCGGCGATGCGGCGGGATCCTCCGACCCCATCTGGGAGGCCTAGAAAGGCGAAGGACAGGAGTCGAGCGCGGCATTCGAGCCCCGCGCGGGCGCGCCCGACGTTGGGAGGCCAACCCACGCCAGGCCCTGGCCCGCCCCTCAGGAGGGCGGGCTCCAGTGACGACACGGCAGCGGCCGCGGCGGCGGGGAGCCTAGGCCCCAGGAGGCTACTTCGCGATCTTCAGGCGGTCGACGGCGGCCAGGCGGGCGCCGAGGTGGAACTGGTAGGAGTAGTCGTTCACGCCCTGGGACTTGACCTCGAGGTACGTGTAGTACGCGAGAACGAAGCGCTGGATAGTCATCAACAGCGAATGCTTCCCGTTCTCTTCATAGCGCTGTCCAAGACCCAAGCGCTCCGGTGCAGTGGCCGGCGCGAACGTCCGCGGCAAGCAAACCAGATGCTGGAGCCGCTCACATGCCAGGTAGTGCGCGATCGCGTCTGGCTGTTGAGGACACCCAAATCGACAGTGGCCCACCTCTGGCGTGACGTGCATGCGGGAGCTCGCGTGCCATCCGCCCGCTAACGTCCGCAGAGTGATCCACCGCCACGCAGGAGCCACTGACACCAGGAAGGCTTTGAGGGTAGCCCACCGCGTCTTCAGGTCACGCGGCAGAACAGCAGCACCAAACCATGCCGTAAGCCGTTTGGCAATGGTGACCTCGAGCTCGTCCTTCATCCAGCGAACGGTCAGTGCATCAATGAATGCCCTTTTGTGGTTTGGGTCTGGATCCAGCTTCAGCGGCGTCTCAAACGGCTCTCTTGGCAATGACACCAGCGCGAAGAGATCCTGATGGCGGAGGGCAGGAACTTGGGCAGATCGACCTTGCAACATCTCGTTGAGGCGATGGACAATCGCCTGCGGCTCCTTCCAGAAGTCAGGCGACCATTTGTTCATCGCGAACGCAGGAAGTCCACGTGAAGATTGGGCAATCTCGTAGAACTCCTTCAACAGGTGCTGCACGTCGTTGAGGGTAAAGAGAGCAGCCCGTCATTGAGTCCCAAGCGAGTATATGAGCAAGGAGCGCGGGGCAATACCAGGCATCCAAATACCCAGCGAGTGGACATCTCTGAGACGAAAGGTACTTGGCGGCATTCGGAGACTTCTGTGAACTGCATGGATCCCCTTCCGCTGTAGCTGTGGAGGGATATCAAAGAACTGCGCAAAGTAGCCGAGAACCGTGATCGCCGAGGTCTGGTAGAGCCTCGCGCTAGCATCCGTGGGTGCCCAGGCGCTGGCAATGGCGACGACCCTCTGCCACCATTTGGTGCCAGCCACCGCCCAGTCATGATCGTTGCAAGCATCAGGGCCCGCATGCGCCCCTATATACAGACCTTCCGCCGCAATTTTGAACGGGGCCCAGTCGGGGAGATGGCTCTGAAGGAAGGTGATGGCGTCGTCGCGGATCACGTCAGTCAACTTCGCCCGCAAAGGAATGATGACACATTTCTTGACATTGAGATACAGGTTGCCGTGCAACGCAGCTTGACGAAAAAAACGTCAGCCAACGGAACCATGAGAGACATACGCTGAAGATGAATTCCGAGATCATCGGCACAAACACCCGCCCTGCCATCCATAGGATTGGGTATCGCCACGTTGACAGTTCTGATGATGACATCCGTAGCTATGGCCCAGGTGGTGCCGGACAGGGGGCCGCCCTGGGCAACCCCAGATGCCAGGGGGGCGCACAAAGTGGCAGCTGCCATCGAGAATGGTGAATCCCACAGCCTGATCGCACAGCGCAGCGACGGCCTTGAGAAAGCCCCTCTCGAACTGGAACTGGTCGAGGCCTGGAAAAGCCATTGCCCCCCCCCCCCCCCCCCACACACACAAAGAAGGGAAAGCCGCAGCGATGCCGAAGAGCAACAGGACAGGCTTGTCACGAGAGGCGTTCGCACTCCATCCTGCCACGCGGCCTTTGGCGCCCATCATCACAATGCTGTTGCAGAAGCTTCGTCCCCGAATGAATTCTTGTTGATCGCGATGAGCATGTACTTCCACGTGAGATCTGAGCTGCAGGTTGAGGGCCCCAGCAAATATCTTGGATTCGATGCTCTTCCGAGAGATCGGGCGCAGATGTCCTGCTTCACGCGTGCAGCAGAAATGGTCGGGCTCCTCGTCGCCCTTCGGGATGAACGAGAAGATCGAGTCGTTGAACGTGGGCGGCGCAACGCCTGATTCGAAGAAGCTCCACGCGACTTCGTCAAGAGCCCCCGATGCTCCGCCAGTGGCAACCCAGGCTCGATATGGGAGACGATCAAGACCAGGCGCTGAGACACGAGCACGGAGGGCGACCCTTCGCATAGCCGCAGCGGAAGGAATGATTAGCTTCGGCGCGGTGATGTTGGGAGGGGCAAACTGGCGCATGAAGTCCATGAGAGTCTGCTCGCCAACCTGCTTGCGCGACAAGATGGACAACCGGTGATCCTGCAAAGCCTCCACCTGCGCCGCTGGATCCGCAACGGCGCCTCCGTCATCAGCGAGACGAATTCCAGTCAGAGACAGGGCCCGCGAAAACGGCGCCCATGCCCTGCTTCTCTTCTGAATCCAACGTGCTTGCTTGAGTATGTGCGCCCCTGCCGTTGAGCTCGCCGTGCCGCAGCGACCGCTTGCTTTGTGCGAAGACGGAACTGTTGTAGATGGGCACGCCGTGAAGCTTCCGCAAATTTGAATTCGCACAGTAGCCCAATCCTTCCTTCACAATTGAAAAGGGGGCCCTTGCCGATCCCCGCGGCGCACACCAGTGCGTAGGCCAGGGGGGGGCCTTGCCTCCAAATGGCCCGCGAAAATGGAACGGCACGCGGGCACGCGTGCCTCCGCAGCAGACTGGCGGCGGAGCGTACCAGGACACGTGGTGAGACGATTAGACGATTGCGAGTGAGGCGAGCCGCCCCAGTCATGATGTTCTTAAAACCAATCCATCGGCGCCCCGCCGTTAAATTGCACTTGCGAACGCTGAAGAAGCGGTGAGACATTCTGCGCGTAGCGGGGGACCGCAAGATCGTTGTCAAATTTGAGCACGTGCGAAAGATTCGGGCACGCGCGAGCAGGAAGACTGACAAAGACACGGTCAATCCTGGTCGCCTTCATGGCATGGGCGTCGAACCGCGCGGGCTCGCCACTCGAGACCTCGGTCATCGATGAGAAGACACTTTTCCCGATTGACCGATGGCGCTGGCCACCCCCCAACGCTGGAGAGGATCATGGGCTGCAGCTCCAGAAGAGAGACGGCGGGCTCGTCGTGGGCGTTGAAGTCGCCGAGGGCAGCGAAGGTCCTCGACAGAGAGGAACCTGCGCCCACTGCTGATACCTGCGCCAGTCAATCTGGACGACTCGCCGTTGATCCTGCGCGAGCTCAAAACTGTGAATGTTCGCGAGGGCAGCAGCGCGCGCATTGCCGTGATAGACATCAAGAACTCGAACGCGTCCTGGGACCAAAATGCGATGCAGAAGCATCGCGCGGTCAGAGATAACGGAAACGTGGTGCGGGACCTCCGGGGAGATTTCCATTCTAGGCTGGCCAACATCTGGGATCTCTACCCCTTCGTCATGGATGGCCGCCTCCCCAAACAGTGGGTGCATCATCCCTTGGTCAGGAGGGGCGCGGGGGCCCAGGTGACCCAGCCGAGGGCGTTCTTCAGGAAGATGATCAGACACTGAGGTCGAGGAGGTAGACGAAGAGGGAGACCTTGAACTGGCAGACGCGGATGAAGATCGCAAAGCCGTGGGAGCGGTCGATGGCGCCGGAGTGGCAGGGACAAGCAGTGACTGATCATCCAGGTCCACGACGTCGATGTCCTTCAGCTTGGGAAAAAGAAAGGCGACGACTCCCGTGCGCGACAGACCGCTGCTGGAGTGGAGCGACACATAAGAATAAGGAGTCTTCTGCAGAAGACGCTGCAGACGGGCCGCATTACCATGAACTTCCTGCACGGAAATGATGTACCCCTGTCGCAGATACGGAAGGAGAAGCTGTAGCTTAGCTTGGCGACGTCGGCGGTCAATAGTGAGCAGGCTGCGAGCGTTAAATGCGATAATCTTGAGGCCCTGCTTGGAGAAAGCGTTTTTCCACTTCGGGGCAGTTGAAGAGCTGCGAGTTCCCGATTCCATTCAATCTTGGTCGGAATGACTGCAGTAGTGAAAATTTCCAAACGCACCAATGGAACGCTGTCAAGCGCGACACGTCCGCGCTGCTTGTATTGTAGGGCCTGGACGAGAGGTTGGCATAATCATATTCGAGAATATTGTGGGGCCGTCGGGCATGAATTTCACGTCGGATTTGTCTGGCACTGCTGCGAGGCCAATTTGTATACACCACCACCGCCTGCAACAGTAATTTTCCGCAAAGCTGGTTAGGGGCAGGGTCATGCCAGACGACGCTGCGACACCACGGCGAGAAGGGGCGCGGCGCAGCTCGCAGGCGCCGTGGCATGGGGAGTTCCTGAAGCAGAAACAGCACTTCTTGGTGGTGGTGTATAAAAATCGCCCCCCTTGGTGGAGGTGAGCGTCCGCGCCGTGGCCTTCTTGAAAGTGTCCGTGGCTGAAACACATGTTGCGTGAGCTGGTCGCATAGCGAGGCCGAAAGCGCCTCGATGGAACCAGGAACAGGAGGACGTGGTGATGCTTCGCCACGAGGCACGTCGGAAGACGGAACTTTCCCTTGGCCCTTCTTTGCCATGGAGAGAACCCGTGCACGGTCAATTTCGGCTTGCTGCGACGCCGGGAAGGCAAGCGGCTCCCCATCCTCCATGGCGGCAGCAAGAGCTTCACGTTGGAGTTGCCAAGGATCGACTTGTTGGAGAGGGTCGGGACGAACTGTGTCTGGAACGGCTGCCAAAAAAAGTCCCGTGGCGCCGCCAGGTACGTGGGTAGTACCTCCCCCAGCTCTGCCAGACCGTGCGGCGCTCGTACGCTCACCTTCGTGTTGCGGGCGATGGGTATCTTTGTCTCGGAGACGGCCACCTGCTTCACCACGAGGCTTGTCGTAGTGCTTGGGGCGGCGGCGGGGAGGACGTTCACCTGCACTTCGTGAGGCACTGCGATCTCCTGCCGATGGGGCGGAATCCGAGAAGCCGTCAGGGAGCGCGTGCCTGTCAAGGCCTCGCTGGTGTGCCATTCACTGAGGTCCGAGCTCCACGACGAGAGGGCCTCAATCGTCTGGAATTGCTCAAGGGCGCACGAGAATATAAATATGCTGCTGAGAGCGAAAGATATGGAGGGGTGCCAGCTCACCCGTGATCGTGGCTGGAATGTCGATTGGACTGGCCGCGGACTAGCGGTATCCATTCCCTGCTTGCGCAAAGCGGACATCTTGAGCCAACATGGTTACGGAGGAGGAGGAGGAGGAGGATGAGGGGGAGGAGGAGGAGGAGGAGCAGCAGGAGGAGGATGAGGGGGAGGAGGAGGAGGAGGAGGAGGAGGAGGAGGAGAAGGGGGAGAAGGACGAGGTGGAGGAGGCAGGACGCGGGAGGCATGAGGCAGCGTGAGTAAACTCGTGCTTCGGATGAACTCGTGTTTTACGCACGGACGTGTGTGCTCTGACACGCATTGTTTTGTGCTGATGGCCGCGCGCTGGAGCTTGCCTCCTTGCCGATCGCCGTGCGCGCGATGATGTCGCGGTCCAGGCAATAGTCGGTCAGCCGCTCGAGAGCCTCCAGGATGGCGTCGGGTGCGGTGCCCGCAGGTGCGGTCGCCGCCTCCGCTCGGACGTATATATATATAGGTCCATCTCTCTCTCTCTCTGACTCTCTCTCTCTCTCTCCCTTTTCTTTCTCGCTATATACATACACATAAATGTACATATATGCATACACGCGTCCGTAAATCATGTGTACATACATGCGTATGCATACATATACACATATATACCTATATGTATGTACGTGTATGCATTCGTAAATGATGTATACACGTTAACATATACATATATGTATAATACAGTTCGCGAGCGTGCCGTCCCGTGCAGACGCGTCCGTATGGCAGACGCGCCACGCATCGACAACCGTCGCGGGCTGGACGGCTCCGCCAGGCGCACCTTCAAGCTGGCCCGCCGCCACATGGCGGCCACCAATTGCCGCTCGGGCTGCCGCCCCGCCCAGGCCTGAGACACGCCCATTCGAAGCGGTCCGCCCTTCGCCCCTCCCCCCTGAATTGCCACCCTCCGACGCCCCCAGATTTCTCTGGTGAGCCATGCCAGCACATTCGAAGCGGCGGCCCAAGCGGGACTCGGGCGATGACGCTGCGGTCGGGGCGGGGGTCTCCGTGGACAAAGTATGTCGATGGAACTCGTGACGCCATTGTCATGATCCCGCGCCAAAAGAAGCTGGGCCGCGCCACTGGAAACATTCACTTCGCGGCAGTATACCCTACACAGGTTGTATAGCACTCGAGATAACACTATAGATCGACAGCTAGGGAGTGAGATCGCAGTGGAACGGAGACCCCCCAACGGGAAATCGGTCTCGGTTTCGTGTTCGTGTTGTGCGTGCGGGCCAGGCGAAGCTGCGTGAGCGCGCGACAGGAATGATGCCCCTGTCGCTGGGGGCCGTGGAACTGTTTGACCGCCCCTCCCCTTGGTGGGCGCGCTGGTGCCCGGGGTGCCCCGTCGGTGGCGCGGGGGTGCCCCGTCGGAGACGCGGGGTGCCCCGTCGGTGCCGCGGGGTGTTCCAAGGGCAGCTCAGGGTGTCCGGCCGTGGTGTCTAGATGGTAGCTCGTGAGATCACTTTTGAAATAGATAAGTGAGACCGATACATGAATCGATTGCGTGATCGGTCGCGATCGCGAGATCGGTCGTGATACCGAGAGATCGATCGGGAAATCGATAATTCGTAAGATCGGCAGCGGTGACGCTCACGGAAAGCACTCGCTCCAGGTGTTAAAGCCCAGGAGGCTCCAGTGAGGCCCTCAAGAGAGCCCCAAGAGGCCCCGCAACCATTTTGGTTCAAGTTTCTGGTTCCAGGCGCGGGGCTGCCGCGTCGGGATTGGACGAGCCACGCGCCGCGCGGGGCGGCTTGGGCGAACCGCGTGCAGGAGCGAGAAGTAGAACATGAGGTTCAAGCGCAGCGATGTCCAGGTCTCATGATCTTCGCGGCCTCGCCCCAATGGCGATGCTGCCTCCGGGGCTGCGTGAATGGGGTGAGTGGGAGCTCCGGACGCACCGCCAGGAGTGTCTTGCGGCGGTCGAGCGGAGCGGGGAGTATGGCGCGGCGGCGGGCACTTCGCCAGGCCCCTCGCGCGGGGCCCAAGGGGGCCACAGGTGCACAAGCGCGCCTGTGAGAAGAGCACGCGGCAGTGGCCCATGGACTGAAAGTTTGAAGGCGCTTGCGCCCGATGCCCTGGCAGCAGGAGGCTCCGCGGACGCCGACGCGTTGGGCGAGCTTCTGCGGGCTCCCTGGCCGAGCGACACGATGCACGTCGACCTGCCAGCGCCCATAGACGACGCGGCCTTCGTTCCGATGCTGGACGACCCGCTCTGCGCGCCGCGGCCCGCCGAATTCGCGGCGGAGGAGGGGCCGCAGCCCTATCGGGGCCAACGAGGAGTGCAACGAGAAGGCGCGGCAGAGGCGGCCGGCGCACCACGCAGCGGGCGTCGCCGCCGCCAAGCGCAGCGCCGACTACATCAGCGCCGCGGAGGACTCGCACGCCCCCATGCCCAGAACGCCGGGGAAGCTGTCCAAGCGCGCTCAGGAGCGCGGCGCGCAGCAGTGGCTGGCGGACCTCAAGGGCGCGGCGGCAGGCCTGCAGACAGCGAGCGGGGCCGCGAGCGTCGCCGGCGACGGGCCCGACCTATGACAGAGGCCTGGGCCTGCGCCCTCCCCCCTCCCTCCTCCTCGCTGCCCCTTCCTTCTCGCCCCCCCGCCTGGCTGCGCGGCGTGCTCGGAGCCGGTGCCTCGGCGCGCGCCCGGCGGCGCTGCGGGCGCGCCTCGAGCGGGCGCGCTCGGAGGTCGCGGCGTCGGGCTCCGCCGGCGCGCCATGCGCCGCCGCCGGCTCGGGAAGCTCGCGGCCCCGCCGTCGGGCGACCAGCCGTGGCGCCCCGCGGTCGACGGCGCCGCCTGCCCCGGCCGAGGGTGCCGCAGGCGGCGCTCGGCGCCGCTGCCCGTTGCACGGCGCGCCAGGCACGGTGGTGAGGGGGCCCCAGGGACACACAGACGAGTACACACAGATCCCAGGGTTCCCCATGTCTTCCATTTTTGTTTGGCTGTTCGCCTTCCCCCCCACGTCCTACATTTTCCCTTCCCCCCCACGTCCTACATTTTCCCATCTTTTCCGGGGAATCGACGATTCATTATGTCTGTGTGATTTTGTTCCCTCCTGAATGGTTCGGCGCGGGGGCGGAGGAGCAGCCGGAGTGCTCAACTGGGCGCGCGTTCTGCCGGGCTCTGCAACCCAAACGATGCCGAGCTCCGGTGGGTCGCGGGCCGCCAGCTTCCGCGCGATCGGGCTTGCAAACAAGAAGTGTGCGATTCGGATTGGCGAATGTCGTCGCCACCATTGCTACTTGCATTCTATAATGGCCCGGCGAAGCTCGTGGCCCTAGTGGCTGCCGTGGTGGTATTTATTTGGCCCGCAGATATTCCGATGGCGTCGCGAAATTGCCCTGCTGGTGTCTCGATCGTACTGAACCAGTCAGCGTGAGATCGTTGGTGGTATCTGCTAGGAGATCGATAGCAGGATCGAACGCGAGATCGACTGCAAGATCGATCGTGCTATCGATAGCGAGACAACGAACGAGGTCGATAGTGCAATCGATGATGAGATCGATAGTGGGATCGACAGCGAGGTTGACAGTGAAATTCACAGCAAGATGCCCCGGCGGAGCTCACGTGACGTCCCAAGCACCCTGCGTCGAAAGTTCCAGCGCCATCGTTACCATCGCGATCGTCGGAGGCGATTGGGTGAGATCGCAGTGGAACGGAGAGCCCCCCACCAATGGTCTGGTCGAGGGTGCCCCTTCGGTGGCGCGGGGGTGCCCCGTCGGTGGCGCGGGGTGCCCCGATGTGGCGCCCCGATAGTAGCTCGCGAGATCGGTTGCGAGATCGATAATGAAATCGGCAGCGAGATCGACGGCATGATCGATAGTGCGATCGAGAGATCGACCGTGAGATCGATAGTGATATCGATCACTGCAGACATGTGGCCGGGGGGGCCGCTGTGGCTGGGAGCCTCGTTGCGGTCCCGATGGTGTCTCATACATTCTGTTGAGAGACATCGATCGTGGGATCGACAATGTACTGAGAACAGAAAGATGCCCCTGTGGTCCTCACGTGGCTTCCCATGTGCCTTCCGTCGGAAGTTCCTGCGCCATTGTCACCATCTACGTAGTGAATTTCTTACTCCTACGGCGCTGGGCCGAAAACCATAGATGAGAAACGGAGCAGGCGCGCGACAGCCGAACGCGCGGGCATGGACGACGCATCCAGACCCAACAAACACATGGGAGCGGCGATGCGGGAAAGCCAGGATGACGCGCATCTTGGGCGAAGATGGCGCGCAAACGATGCGACGTACCATTTGGATGACGAAAGCGCGGCTCGATGAAAGCGGAAGCAGGAAGAAAAGGAGGAAGATGAGGAGGGCCCAAGATGATACTCCGTCGCGAGAGCCAGTTGGAGGATAATTTCATGAGGGAGAGGGGTGAAGGAAGGGGGAGGAGAGGGAGGAAGGGGAGGGGGTGTGAAGGGAGGGAGGGGGGAGAAGCCGCGTATTGACGGGGTGTGAAAGGAAGGAAGGAGCAGGGGAGCTGGTCTACAGGGATGGGGGGGGAGGGAGGAAAGAAAGCGGAGGGGGTCTTAAAGGAAGGAGCGGGAGGGAGAGGGAAGAAGGGAGGGGGACTGAAGGGAGGTTGGGGGAGGGAGGAAGGAGAGAGGGATATGGGTGGAAGGGAGGTAGGGAGGAAAAAAGACAGGACGCGAGGGAGGACGAAGGGAGGGATAAGGGAAGAAGGGAGGAAGTGATGGGGGGAACGGGGGAAGGGGAGAGGGTGAGAAGGGAGGGAGGTGGACGGAGGGGGAGGAAGGGGAGGGGGTGTGAATGGAAGGAGGGGGGAATTCGCACGCACCAACGTTAGGGAAAAATTCTGCAGGCGGAAGTCTTGCAGTGCAGCCGCCTACCAGAGCAGATTCTTCACTTGGGTTTCAGGGGCCTGCATGAGACTCCCACTCGGCCTCGCGCGGGACCCCTGGCAAGCCTTGGGACGAGCCCACGAGGCGTCCAGAACGGACGCGCCCGTCGCACATGATTTCGCGGGGGGGGCGTCCCGATGATGGCCCCTGCGGTTGCCGCAATGGGCCCCCCGACTGTTTTCCCGAAGGTTACCCGGACGCGTTGTCCGACGGCCCCCGAACTAAATGCCGCGACGGCTGCCCCGAGCAGACATCGGAGTAGGAAGCCCTGCCACGGGGCCGTGTTGGGCCCCCCTGTGGGCACTTTTGGGGCCCGCCTGAGCCGCTCTTGGGTCCTCTCGGGCTATCTCGGGGCCCTCTTGGGCCGACTTGGGGCCCCCCCGGGCTGTCTCGGGCCTCTCTCTGGGGCCGCTTCCAACGTCTTGGAACCCAGGGGTCGCCGTGAGGCAAGCCGCCCGTGACGGGCGGTTTGCACCCAAGCAAACCGTCCGTCACGAGCGGTTTGTTGAAACTAAAAATTGGACAGGGAAGCCCCGCCGCAGGGCCGCCTAGCGCCCCTTTTCGGGCTCTCCGCG